TTCCCACGTCGGAAATGATAAAACTACTCCGGCATATTATCGCGACAATCTTGCATTGTTTACCCAGCGCGGACGGGACATGAAAGGGATCGCAAAGAGGTACTGCAACGGGAGTTCCCGTTGCCCCATTTTTCCGCCGAAACGGAACGCCTACCGCGGAATGGAATAACGAAGGGTGTTTCATTACCTCTTTTCGTCTGCCCACGCCGGCCGACTTCCTTTTTTTCCTTTTTTTTCCATTAATTAAACAGACGCACTCGTTTCGGTTGGATCTCGCGATTAAACGGGAATGGAAATGTTTGGAGTCGGGTGGAACTCAATTCTCGGACCTCTGAGTGGAGTCGGAAGCGAGGTGGCCCCGAAAGAGCATAATTTCCGCCGTGGAGATTTTTTTTCCGCGTCGAAACGGGACTTTCCGCGCAAAATCGGCCATTTTCCTCGCGGCTCTTTTCGCGAGGAAGTTCGAGCGTACTCCTAATCGGGGGATCGATCGGCGTTTTCTCGATTGGGCTTCTCGAAGGGAGGATCTCTCGAGCCGTCGTTCGGTTTCCGCTCCGGAGGAGTGTCGGAACTCGCGAAACTTCCGGTTCACCTGGATCCGAGGAGATTCAGCGATTCCCGACATCGGATTCCGCGCCGGGGAAACTTCCCCGAAGAAATTCGCACTTCCTTCGACCTGATCGACTTCAATTTCCCCGCGAGCGTTTTAAGCGGCTTACGGAGCTCCTCATTTTGCCTTGAGCGCGGACTTATTTATATTAAACTGACGCTTTTAGATAATTGAAACGTCGAGTCGGAAATGTCGTTGATTAATTTTCTCAACGGCTTTCATGTCACCTTAAGTTCCTTTATTCCATCCCTGTCGGTGCACTGTCTCTACCAGGTCTGACCACAGCCCGGCGTTGCCACTGTATACTGTTGAAGCAGAGCCCGCGCAGATTCAGTGGTACAAGCCCGAGATGGTCAGACGCGGCGGAATCGAATTTCGTGGTTTACTATAGCGAGCGAAGGGATGGAACGGAAGACGCCGTAAGCCAAGGGGAGGGCAAGGAGGGCCGGAGGGATAGTTTATTGTGCAGCAGACCAGTCCCTCGGGAAGGCGCGCAGGGAAGACCGAACGAACCAGAGAGCCAACGGGAGAGATATCATTTATTAACCTTCCAAGGCCGAGGAGGACCTTCTAATGGATAACAAAAGATCGTTCGAGCGGGAGGAATTAAGATGGGGCCTAACGATACGGGATTGAAATACTAGAGGTGTCGGTTACCGATGCGTAGGAACGTCGAGGGAGGCAGTTCCGGGTTTTTTTTTTCTTTTTCCAGGAAAATCAGGATAAAAACGTGGAAAAGTAGAGCGACATTCTTCTCGGATTTGTCGCGGGAACGTCCAGGTCTTGTTTCAGCCTGGCGCTCTCGAGTTAACGCGAGCGTGATAAATATTAGAGAGAAGATGGGACGCAAATTGACGTCATTCACGGGTTACGCCAGCAACGGGTGAAGTTGGCGGATCGCGAACCGCTCCAAGTGCGAGTCGACCTCGCCACTTTCGTTCGTGGAAAGTCGAGGGCGAGGGGATATTCACTCGTGTAGATATCGGGACGAGAGAGGGAGTAATTGAGAGAGAATATACCGGAGGGTGAGGGTCTCGAATTAATCCAGATCGTGGAAGAAACTTTAGCGAGTTCCGAGCGACCGGAATATACGATTGGCTGTCCACGGTTGACCGTACTCTGAGTTTATTACCGGCCGGACCACGATGTTGCGGCCAGGGTGAATATTCGATATTCAGGGAAAGGTGGATCCACCGAATAAGGTTTCCACGGTGGTCAAGAGTACGTAAACAAACGTAAATGCGTGGAAATTCGATTTTAGAGCTCGGTGGTTAACGTGGCCGTGTCAAATTTCGGAATCCGAAGAAAATTCACAGATTAGGTAAGGAACCGAGAATGGCGTCGACGAACGGGTAGAGCAAAACATAAGAAGGCGGACAACGGAGAAAGTCGCTTAGCACCCTGGCTGAAAAATTACCGGGTTGATATATCGCACGATTATCGCCAAATTACCCTACATTACCCTATCCCTTGTTTATCCGGCACGGATCGACACGCGCATATGAAAAACCTTGCAATTAATCCTTCCCGGCTCGACGGGGCTAATTTGATCGATTTGACGTGCCCGCTGACAGGAGGATGAAATATTCCCTCGCGAACCGTTAAATCTCAACGAATTCGACACATATATCCGGGAATTAAATCGCCCTTCGGGGACTCCGACTCTTTCTCGGGCGGAAAATTAAAAAAGTAGGATTTTAAGAAAATCATTATGCAGAGCGACGTAATTCATCTCGTAGTTTCTTAATTTCAAGGGTCTCACCCATTAGCGGTTTTTTAAGGAGGCGCGCCTTTCATCCGACTCGGTTATAAATTTTTCCCGGGGCTGAGAATGTTAAAGGGTCGGGCCGGCAATTCGACGAAGGAAGGCGTAAAGCGGCGCAAGAAGAAGACGGATAGCGAAAACGCTGTAAAACCTCAGGAATTATCCTAACGACCGGAATTGCCGAATTTTTGGCGCACTCCGTCGCTCCGCTTTCGGAGCAGCCATTCGTCCGACCAAAGGCGGGATTTACTATTTTGGCTCAGCGCGCCGCGCCGAAGAAAAGCGGCGCCGAATTTGCGGCCAGAGACTTAAATGCAAATTCCTCGAAGATACTAAAAGTGGCGAGAATTAAGGAGAGAAGGAAAAAAGGGTAATACGCAACTTAAGCGGATTTGCAAGTAATTATTTACCCCGCGAGAGCGCCGGCGTCGCTCCTTTTCCGATTAATAACAACGAACCGAGCTCGTCGAAAGGGTTTTAACGTAACTCCCTGAAGTCGATCGGTTACGAATTCCCGTCAAAAGTCGACGAAGCGAATTTCCACGATTGCTCGATTTTTTTTCTTGTCGCACCTTGTGCACGTCTCCTGGGACTGGATTCTCGATTGCGTACATACGTATTTTTTTTTTTCGCGTACAAATAGATTTGCATGAAAAATATTGCATTGCCGTAAAGTCGAGTTATTGGTAAACGTTAGAAAGTGTCAATTTCGCACGTGAAAATTGATCGTATGAACTGGAGAATCGGCAAGATGGGCGGGGGACACAATGGCAGCCCGGAGGAGAGTGAACTTTGTAATGCAGACTACTATTCCGGTAATGAGTGGGACCGTACCTCGGAGGATTGCACGTTGAGAGATCAACCAAGAGCAGAGATTTACTCTAACGACCGGAATCACCAAAATTTCGGTCCGCTCCGTAATTCAAGCTCGGCGCAGCCATTCGTCCGACCGCAGCGAGGATTTACAACTTTGGTCTAGGTCCGGCTCTACGAAAAAGAGCGGCGCCGCGCGGTTGGGCGTGTCCCAGGGAGAGTTAAATTCTTCCTAATAATGGCCACACTTTGTGCCAGGCGACAGGGGGAGGGGACGTGTCTTAATTCCCGAGAACGAATGCTACATCGAATTACGCGCGCCGGCAATTCCCGCGACTTTCGACCAATGAATCCCCGCACTTATTTGCATCGAACTAATTTCCAAATTGCCCCGCTAATTCGCCCTCCCTTAATTAGCATGTTAACGGCCGCAAAACGATCGTCCCCACTCTGCGAGAAGTTGGTCCAGAAAATCAAGAATCACGGAATCGCTGGAAATTCCAAAATAACGAAATCCAGAAAAACCAATTTGGCGTGTTCTTCCTCCTGGGAGCCTGATCGAAGCGAGCCCTCGACGAGGTTATGCAAAAATATTCATCGGGCGAAACTTCCCCTAACTGAATCTATCAGAGAATTTTCATCGAACTAAACTTTATCGAAGACAATTTTTATGGAGGAAGGGTGACGTACGGAAGAGGATTTTCATCGGGCGCGAATTTATCGGGGAAAATTTTCATCAACCGGTAGATAGAACACGGGTGGAAGAGGAAGGATGATGCGGAAACAATGGCGGGTCTGAGAAAGTCCGGGCTGCATTGTTTTGCGACTTCGGCTATTATTATCCTAGAATCCCTGGTACCGATGGTAGTACACTCCTGGCACTAGTGCCGATAGTCGGAGCACCCTCGGCCGACCGAGTCGACGGTTGGCCGGCAAAAATGCAATTGCCACGGAAACTTTCGGAAAATTGCGCTAATGGAGAGCGGGACAAAAAGCGACGAAGGAGCCGCTCGAGGGTGGATTCGCGAAATTGCAGCCGGGACGAACGCCGAGGCGGGAAGCCCTCGAAACTCCCGAGGGATTGATCCCACGGGAAGTCCCCGAAGTGGCGGAATCCTCGGGGACACTCGGAGGTCCGGGGTGACGAAGCGTGATCGATCCGCGCCAGAATCGCAGATTACCGGAAGTGAATTCGAGCATGGCGGCTTCCGGCCCCGGGAGAGGGTCACTCCTTAAGGGGATGCGAAAGTGGCATCTGAGAGGTCGATCGTTTACGAAACTTTTCTTCGAACCGACGAGGACGACGAGGACTTTCTTCGAGGACGGATCGTCAACCGGGGATATTATTATATTCAAACGCGCGAAACCCAATTCAACTCTCGCCCCTGTCCGTTCAAATCGGAAATCTCTCGTTTTTCCACGTTCCTTTCCTTTCGTTGTTTATCGCGGAGGCAATCGAAGAATTCCGCCCGAAGCGGGCTGCTGTTATTAAGTATTCCATTGCCCACGTCCCGCAAGGAAATTTCGCGGGTAAATATTACCATTCGGAAACAATGGCGAGGCGACGTTATTTACCGGGCACAGTTTTCGAGGGAGGAAACGCGAAAGTCCCCCTTCGCCACCGGAGGGAGGCTGGCGCCGTGACGGTAAATGCCGCGGAATTAAACTAGTTGGGGGAGACATTAAGGTCGATTTTCGGAAGTCGGCGCAGCGTGAATTTCGAGCGGCAAGCTCCGCAGGAAAACAGTCGTCGCGGGTGTTAATTCTAGTCCGCCGGGTCGGCGGTCAGCGCAGAACAAAGGTCGGACTTACCCTGCACTTGGGGAACTCCTCCTCGGGGCTGGGCCTCTTCCATCCGAGGAGCGGGGGGATGCAGACGAGGGCCGACAGGAGCCAGACGAGGGCGATCATGAGCGCCGCCCTGGCAGGGGTCCTCTTCTTCAGATAGTCGACGGCCTGGGTGATGCTCCAGAAGCGGTCCAGGCTGATGAGGCAGAGGTTCATGATGCTGGCGGTGCAGAGGAGGACGTCCATCGCGGAGTAGATGTCGCACCACCAGTACCCGAATATCCAGTAGCCCATGATCTCGTTGGCGAGGGAGAAGGGCATGATGACGAGGCCCAGAAAGAAATCAGCGACAGCCAGACTGGCGATGAACCAGTTCTGGATGTTTTTGAGGGCCTTCTCGGTAGCGATGGCGATGATGACGAGCATGTTGCCGACGACGATGACGATCATGAGGACGGTAACGAAGATGGAGCCGAGGACCACCTGGGGGAGGCTATAGCCGGAGGGGTACATGCCCTCGCCCAGGACGATGTAGGTCTCGTTGTACAGGCTGGCGTTCCACGAGAAGATGCTCTCGTTGAAGGAGGCGTTGAACGGGCCCCCGAAGTCCCTCATCATCTCCTCGAAGCCGAACAGGAGGTCGCCGTCGGCCTGGGGGCCGCCGATTAGGCCGCTGCCGGCGCCGCCGCCCCCGTCCGCGGGGCCCGCCGCGCCCCCGCCGTCACCACCGCCACCGTCGCTCCCACCACCGCTGCCCCCGCTCCCGCCGCCGCCGCCGCTGCCGCCGCCGGCCCCGTCGCCGCCCTCGGACCCACTGCCGCCCCCACTTCCGCCACTGCCGCCGCTACCCGGGCCCGGGCCGCTGCCACTGTCGCCTACCGACATGCTCCTCGCGCCAGAGACCCGTCCCCACTCCGCGGCCGCCGGGCCCGCACTAGCGGCCGGGCCCCGCGCTCCCTGGGATGAGAGGCCCGCGGCGGCCCGCGTGCGCGCGCATCCGGCCGCCCGAGTCGGATCCCCGCGCCAATGGCTGGGTGGTCGAACGTCGACCGATGTCAACAAAGAGAGAAGAGGACGCGTTCCCCTTGGACCGAGACTTTTAGAATTCCGTTTCGATTCCGTTCTCCTCGCGCGGCTCGTCCCTGGTTTATCGCCGACGGGGACCGACGGATCGGTCTCGCCCCCGTCCCCCGGGGGCCCCAACGACGTCCGCGAGAGGGAGAGGGTGCTTCCACGGGGTCTCGCACGAAGAACGATCTAGCCTCGCTGTCGCAAGGGAGGGAGAAACGACCGAGCCAGGAAAGGACGGACGAGCGCGAGAAAGACGGTGTGAAAAAATTGGTCCCCTTTTCCTCCTTTCCCCTAGATTAGCTCGGATCTCCTTCCTCGGCTTGGATTAATTCGAACCTCCTTTGCCCCGGACTGGCGACGATCTCGCCCGCCCCCTCGGATTACCTCCGATATCCCCCTCCACGCGTCATCCCTTAGATTAATTCGAATCTACCTTAAGACACGTAAGACGCGCAACGTGAGAAGCTATTAACGACCGGTAAACGCGACGAGCCGAGCGACGCGACGCCTTCCCTCGGGACGCTCCCGGAGATATCCGGGATATCCGCCGAGAGGAAACGATTCGGAATCGGGGGAAACTCCCGCCCTCTCTTTTTCTCGCTCTTTCCGCCACCCGGAGACGTTCCGCGTCGCTCGATACGCGACCGTTTTCCCGAAAGACGCCCTCGACGGGAGGAAAAAGCGTCCTCGTCGAGGTGCCAAAGGCTAAGCGCTGAATACCCGTACTGCTCCGACCTGCTTCGTTAGCGATTAATTATCTATTACGTTTTTCTCGACTACCTTAACCGGGATATCCGCGATTCGGAAGAAACAACAAAAAATGACCCGGAATCCGGAATCGTTTTTTCGGGGATTCAGTTCCCGGCTCCGACTCCCTCTCGCGACCCGGCCGAACACCCGCGGCGCGTCCGCTGGCGGAAACGGGCGCTGTCGAGCGGCCGCGGATACATTCCTGGGCCTATTTACAAGTCTATTTACAGACGCTCGGCGAATGGATATTCGCTGGATCGGCGCGACTCGGCACGTGCCGCGATGCCCCGGGCGCCGCAACGCTCCCGGACGCGAACTTCTCACGACGACTTCGCTGGCTGCGGCGGATCCGACGCGGATACCCACGTTGGACACTGAACTCTTCACCGAGGAACGTCTTCCTTCGAGGCGCCACCCTCGACGGGGGCGAAAATCGAGATCGTCTCGATTATCTTCGAGCCAGGACGTGAACGCGTGGGGGCGCCAAGGGTCCGGGTCGACCGTTTGTCCCGGATCCTGGAGGATACCCGACCTCGCCCTCGAAGGTCCTCGGTCGTTTCCCCGCGTTCCTTCGGACGACCGATCAGTCGCGACGGTTTCGAGTCGCGGGCGAGTCGTCCCTGCCCTTCCGCGGTCGAATCCGCGCACTTTTGAGGGCCACTGGTGGTCCCTTGAGTCCGCTCGTCGGCTACCCGTCCCCGTGGCACTCTCCAACGGAGCGGTCCATCCCGGTCTCTCTCGCGGGCACCGGTCCGCCCTTGCGCGCCGGCGAGTCGCGATCGGCGATCGGCGATCACGTGCTACGCGGCGCCTCGACGCGCGACGAGCCCGGCAGTCGGCGCGGGGCAGGCATCCGAGGCGGAGGCACCTCGCGGATTCCGGAGCGGGCGATCGGAGGCCTCGACTCGCAGGCTCCGTCGGAGAGGCGCTCGGTCAGGCTCGCAGGCTGGGATCAGGCTCACTGAGAGCGACGGCTGACGGACCAGTCCGTCCGACGGTTGCAGCGTCGAGGCGCCGTCTGACGGAGCGGCGGGCTAGCCCTCTCTTTCTCTCTCTCTCTCTCTCTCGGACGGCGCACGCGTGAAGAGCCGACCCGAGGACGGGCCCGCCGACGAGAGACTTTCGACCATCGACCGATCGCCGCAGACTCTAACCCTGCCCTTCTTCTCTTGCGATCCAGGAGTAGATCCTGGCGATCCCGCAACTCGAGATAAGTTTATCTGATTTTCGAATTCGTTTTTTAATACCGGACTTCGATTATCGACCGATGGTCGCGAACTCTAATTCCATGCCTCTTCTTTGGGAACGAAACCTAGATCCTCTTGATCCAGGAACCCGACTCGAAATAAAACACGTTCAGGGCACGTTTCCACATTTTTTGAAGGTAATTTCTGAAACGACCTCGAGTCGATCGACTCGAATGTCGAACCTATTCCTCTCGTCCTTTAATTGCACGGTCTTTCGATCTACGTCGGATCGGCCTCGCAATTTCTGGACATGGGGGCATCGTTTTTCCGCTCCCCGCTCCTTTAGCGTTATTGCGGGGAGGATCGATCGATCCAGGATTCCGGGGTCTCCGATTCCTTGCCTCCCTCGGGAATCGAATAACGGCCTTTATTCCCGGTACCTTTTCCCGGCCAATTCCCCGGCTCCGTCTATTCGGCGTAACGCAAGTGCGCCTTCCCGTTTCACTATTCATGCCTAACCGATTACCCGTAAATCAGGGGCAACGTACGACTTAATGGTATTACCACACCTGGCAGGGCGCGAGAGGAATCCTTGCCCTCTAAAAAAGTCGACGTTCGAGTCCAGTCCGAGTGAAATTAATTATCGGTCTTAACGAACTTTCCCCCGGCCGTAGATATTTTGCATATTACCGGACGGTCTCCTTTGCGACCCCAGAGGTTCCTCCTTTGTACCTCTCGGCCGATCGAATAACAGCCTTTATTCTCGAGAGCTCTCCCGAACTCATTATCCGTCTCCTCCGGGATAACTTAGGTGCCCGTTCCCGTTTCACAGTGAACCTTTAAGTGCAACGAGCGTTGAAAGTTGCCAGGTACACCCCGGAAGAATTTTATCATCGCCATCCTCGTAAAACCTTTTTCGAGAACGATCGCCTCGATTTTCCACCCTCGACCGCCATCTTGGACTGGAGGGTATTCACTCAGGAAATCGTGGATTTTTACGCCGGAAGTCACCGAACACTTTTTCAATTTTAAGGCCGACCGTCCCTTGTTACCGAATTGTCTATCACATGAAATCAAAGGCAATCGGCTCTCAAAGGGAATCGTTTTTACCGATTTCCAGGTGAATAGTCCCTCGCTCGTCCTAACATTCTCAAAGAAACGATTGCCATTCGTTGTCGATATCCGTTGATGAATATTAATGATTAACGAATATTTCCATAAACGGAGGGCCATTTTGCATACCGCAGTGGCCCTCCTTTTAAGACGCCGCTCGGCTCTCGAGCCATCGAATAACAGCCCTTATTCTCGAGGGCTCTCGGGGGCCGATTTCCTGCCACTTCCTATCTGACGTAACACAGGCACGCGTCCCCGTTTCAGTGGCAATTCCGTGCCCCGCCGCGTTCCGAAAGTTTCCCGGTAGTTTCGTGGGCTGCGGTGGGTTGGGAGGGACAGCCCCCGATCGGGGGCCCGTATCGTCCCGCTCGCAGTCGCGGCCGCGGGTGGGGTCCGATGGGGGGACTGGGGGGTTGCGTGTATCGGCATTGTGTCCGAGAACAGTGCTACCAACGACGGAGAAACTAGTTACCGAACTCCTTTCGGGGTGTCCTTACACGTCCCGGTGGTTGTGAGATAGGGAAACCACCCTCTCCCTTCCCCCCGGTTTCTCGCCCGGAGGCCCTTCGGTCCCTCTCCGACGATAGGTTCGACGGAGAGGGCGGATTTTTGCGTCGGCGTCGTCCCTCTCGCTTTCGATCGGGACGGCGAGAAGGATGGAGTAGTCGGGTCCCCCGGGGGGGCGAGAAAGAGAGGGGAACGCCCGTGAAAAATAACTTCCACGGGGGAGGAAGACTTTTCAATATTCCGCCCGTGGCTACCCTGCCGATAACGCGGCGCCCTCGCAAAACGATATCGCCGGTGATAAGGGCGATATTTTAACCGGGGACCGATCTGCTCCGATGACGCCCCGCGTTTCCGACCTCCTGCCGAATGTTAACGTTACTTCTATTTTCTTCCGGAGATTGATGGGATTTGTTCGCCGACGGGGGAGGGGGAGTCGAAATCTGGGTTAATCGGACGTTATTTCGATCGCTGGCAATCCCTTCGATAAACCCGGTCGTTTGCTCGGGAGGTCCTGGAGAAAACAAAATCGGGGGGGAAATATTAATTTACCGATATTCCAGGGCCGACGGAGTTGGTTATAATTCTTCCACCCCCTCTCCCGGACTTTTTCGCGCGACGAACTCGCGACCGAGTTCGACGGGAGTTATCGGCGATATTAATTTCCGCGCATCTTTCCGTCGAAGAAACGATCGCCGTCCCCCAGCCGACGAGCTAACGCGAGTTTCGCCGAACTCCCATTCCTCGTGAATAAACATGGTGGAAGAGCCCCCCCTTCTCCATCATTTTCCGTCCGAATAACGATCCCCTTTCGAGGGACGTTTTACTCCCAGTCCTCGCAGATACAGGGCCGTTCAATGGGAAATGATCGAGGAGGTGTCAAGGCGATAATTCGCACGATTTTTGCGCACCTCCCCCCATATAGAATCCCGTCGATATTCGCGAACCATGGGCGGCCCGCGGCCATGTTTTCGCCCCTTAATCATTTTCTGGTCTTCCGCGTGCCGAGATTTATCGGCTCGCGATTTTCTGCCCGAGATTCGACGGCGCGCGTCCTCCCTTCGTGATCGTCCGTTCGCAATGTCCGTCGGACCTGCCGTCGACGTCGACGTCGACGTCGACGGCGACGCTCGTCGTTCCGAGGTCCTCCACCTCCGGAAGTGGATGAAATCTCCTCGGGCACCTCCCGCGCCTCCGCCAGGACCATGACCTACAATCATCCCCTTATTCAGGCACGCCCCCCGCGAGGTATCCGCGACC